CATGCCTAAAACGTTAGAAAAAATTTCATGGCACGAGCCAAGCGATATACCAACATCCTCAGCAACTTCTCTGATAGTGATTCGACGATTTTCCAGAACAATTTTCTTCACTGCTTGAACGTTTTGAATTTTTGAATTGAACCATGGGGTATTCTGGAAGTGCTTGAAGCCTGGCCCGAGAAGGGTAGAGTACAGAGTGCTCTACAGCCAGATGCCTAAAGAAACAATCTTTGGAGCGCGATACCTGTCCGGATATCAAGTCCCCACGTTCGCGGAGACTCCAACCTTACGTCGACGTTAATTTCAGACAAGCGTGATCAGTGAAGCGTCAAAACTATGGCCTCTGATGATCTCACGTAGAATAAGTTGTTCATTAGACTTAAGACATTGTTAATCGTTCATTTCGTTATATTGATAGTTTAAGAGAAGTTGAGGCAAAATAGCCTCCAACCAATCAGATTGTGATGTCGATGCTAATCAATAGAGCAGTCCCTTCAACGAAAACTGGCTCTCCATGTAAATATATCAAAGACCGTCCTAGATTCGCAAACAGGAGTGAGTCAACTAGTCAATATAAGTTCTTGTTAAGTCGAACACTGCTCGACCATTAAAGGTCTAACTAGTCTCGCAGCTGTGGCCGGCAGTATGTTACGTCACAACACGATGTATATGTACTAACACATACGTATGTTACTCAGGCATGTACTTTTAAATTAAGTTAAGCTGCGCGCGCAGCTAAAGCGTGTCTGTGTGCGAGAATGTGTGAGGCGCTAGGGCCTTAAGCCTAGCATGGTGGCAGCACCTTACGGCGCTGCCCCATTCGCGCCAAGCATGGCTGCTCTTGCCGGTGTAACCGGCAGTCGTCGACGACATCGTTTAGCGTGCGGAGCTCCCTCGCGTCATTACGTTTTTGAATAACGGTTTCGTGCACCCACGTGCAACACCGTTTGCAATACCCACGTATTGCAAGGCTCTCGTCCACTCACGTGGTCTTTCCTATCGCTTCAGTGTGGTTGGAGTGTGTGATAGTGAATGCAAAGTTGTTGTATACTAAATTCTTTTGTGTGCAAAGCGTTTGAGTGCGTGCGTGCATGGCAACGACCATCGCTCTCCACGCGACGTCTCTTTCGCGTTATTTCCATCTTTGTAATTTCCTATTTCATTTTAATAAAAGGGTTTTTTATGCCGGTACGGTTTTTTCCCTAAATCAGTGTCAAGTTCAATTTTTTTAATTCAGGGGCAGAAGAGCGTAATGAAAAAAAGAATGCACGCTTATATAAATTTAGACCATAGATTATATTGCCGTTTGGAGACTATCAAAAAAAATTTCCTTCGACACTCGACTCGGTTACCACAGCTCATGGGAAATGGTTTCAACTCTACCGTTGGTCTTATAATATTAAAAAAAATTATTCTTTTGAAATTTAAAAAATTTTGATATAAAAAATAATTTAAAAAATAGCCCGCCGTCACAACCTAAGAGAGGGTAAATCACCCCTAACACAAAATAACTATAAGTATACTTCAATCTATAATATTTTGTAGAATGTTTGTGTATAGGGGTTTTCGAGATCGCTCTTTACAAATCTGATATCAGATTTTGAAAATTTAAAATGGCGGAACAAATGTAATGGACATGTTTTCGTGTTAACATTCATATGTTAATACGAAATAAACTGTTAACATTCATAAAAAATCTTAACATTCATAAAAACTTGTTTACAAATGTGTGATCTTTGTAGCCTGTACATGTGAACTAAAGAGCCTTAAACCCAAAACCCCTAACTTAAAAAAACCCACACTTTTTTACAAATGAAAAAACATAGGTTAATAAAATTAGTTTATCAACCTCATTTGCGTTTTGTAATAAATTTTAATGTTCTCTAACTTCGGAGTTTTTCATTGTTACAATTATTTCGTAAGCCAACAGTTTTATAGATGAATTCTCGAAGTAATGATTATTCTATGTATAGTAAATATTTACAGTCTGGAATTTCATAATAATACTATTGGATACGATTTAATAAATTTATCAAACAATATAAATTCAATAATAAATATTATTCTCATTATTATTATTTTACATTATCATTGATATTATTATTAATAATATCAGTATTACTGTTATTATTGCTATTGCAATGATGCTTATTCTTATTTTTTTTTTTTTTTAAGGAGTTGCGGAATCCTCTTTGCGGATTCCCCTTAGTCTTTCTGACTAAGGGGTTATGTGGGACTCCCCGAAAAAAAAAAAAAAAAAAAAAGGCCTACCCACTAAACAGCCATCTCCTCGCAAACCCCCAGCCAGGGTCTATATTGATATTACTTCTGACTGGAGGTTCTGTCTGTGTTCGTCCTCTCGTGTCGTTCCTCCGTATCTCGTTATGTCGCGTCACTTCGTCTGCTCAGTATCTGTCAGGCAGCCCTCCGCGTTCTTACGTCTCAGTATAGTTTCCGTATAGGTAGCGACTAAGCGCCTCCATTCGGGTTCACGAAGCATCACAGCCACGATGTTATCCAGTTCCTGGATAATTCCAGTTCCTGTCTGAGTCTTGTCCAGCGGTCAAACGCGAAAAACGTGTGTTGCACGTCGTCTCGTTCATGTCCACAGTACTTACAGTCGGGTGGTCGTAGTCTGTTCATATTGCAAAGGTACCGTCGGAAGTACCCGTGACACCTCAAGAGCTGGGTGACGTAAAAATTTACATCACCAAATTTCCTTCTGAGCCACAGCCTTAAGTCCTATATCAGTCGTTTCGTCCACTTCGTTTTTCTATCCATCGGCTTTGCCACATGTCAATACTTGTTACGCTGGGTGATTGCCGCGTTCTTTCGTCCTATGTCCGCGCTGCTCCCGTAGATAGTTTGCGTTCAAAAGCCAGAAGATCTACGGGTATTACGCCAGCCACCACCAAAACAGCTTGCGCAGAGACTGTTCGGTAGAAGCAAGCGATTTGCCGTGCGCCCTGTCTCTGTACCATCATCATCGACTTACAGTATTTCTTTGTCTTCAGAGAGTCTGCCCATATTTCCGCGCTGTATAGAAAGATCGAGTGGGCTCTTGCCATTAACAGTCGTCGTTTTCCCGATCTCGGTCCCGTCGTATTTGCCATCAAACGACTCAAGGATGCTATCCTCTCTGCCGCTTTCTGGGTTGTTTTCTGTACATGAGGCCAGAGTCATCTTCGTATCGAGGGTTACCTCAAGGTACTGGACTTCCCTCTTGGTCTTCATCTCGCATTTCCTCACCCTCATGTACAGTATCGTCTGTATGCGTCTTCTCGTGAGAAACATCAGTTCCGTTTTTTCTGTTGTGAGTTGTACTCCGTGGTCTCTCATCCATCGTCCGACTCGTCTCATGATCGGATTCAACGCCAGCTGCGCCAGCTCAGGGGACCTCTCCGTAATCACCGCCGCCACGTCATCAGCGTAAGCGACGAGGGTCACTCGGTGCAGCATCCCAAGCCGAAGCAAGCTATCGTATAAGATATTTCAGAAGTCAGGTCCCAGTATCGATCCCTGTGCCACCCAGGCGGTGACCTGTCTCGTTACTTGTCCTTCGATCGTCTCGTACGTTATCCGTCTGTTTTTTAGGTAATCCTCCACAACCCGAAGCAAGTATGGCGGGATCCCGAAGTTGTTTTTCAGCGCCTCCAAGATATCCTTCCATCTAGCCGAATTAAAAGCATTAATGTCGAGCGTCGCCAGCAACACTATAGGTCGCTGCGAGAAAGTGTCTGTCTAGTTACAGGAAAAAGTCGACCACCTTTTGGATCGCTCCAATCGTCGATCGACCACTCCTGAAACCAACTGCAAATCTAATGAACCCCCTCCGGTCTGTATCGCATTCATCGGTCTCGGTCTCAGTAATTGTTCAAAGAGTTTACCAGTCGTGTCAAGTAAACTCAATGGTCGGTAAGCCGAAAACGTGCCGGGATCACCCCTACCTTTTGGGATAAGAACGAGCCTTGCCACCTTCTACCGGTCGCTGAACGTTCCTGTCGTTAAGCACATGATGTACAGGTAGCGGAGTATCTCCGGCCGAAGACGAGCCACAAGCCGGAGGATCTCGGATGGTACTCCGTCCGGTCCTGTAGCTTTACCCGTCTTCATCGCATTCGTTGCTCTGATGAGCTCCTCAGCGGCAAAGGCAGGGGAGCATCTGTGCGTTCACGTCATCCATCACGTTTGTCCTAATCAGGTGCGTCGGAAACAATCTGTCAATAATCCGTCCTGCTATTTCGGCATCTTTAAGTTCCGGTGAGACTCGGGCCCTTCCGGCTTTTCCCTTTTCGGTCGACCTCCTGTCCTTGTCACTCGTCGCCGATTTGTCAGGCATATCATGCGTAGCACGGCTATCTCGTTTGTCAACCAATATTGTGGTTGTCTGTTGTATGTGTCGACGTATCGGCATTGTGCTTCTGCACAAGCGGTCTATTAATTTTGACGTCTCTTCTGTCAGTCTTACCGTTCTTTGCCGGTCCGTCAGTTCGGGGGGAATTTTCTCCCCTGGAGACGATGCTACCTTTAGCTCTTCCGAAAATTTTCGTCAGTTAAGTTTACGTAGATTCCGCAGGGGTTGGTGGGTTCTCATTCGTCTCGTTCCCGTCCATCCCACCACTTCAAAGACGATGTACTGGAGATTGCTGCCCACACAGCATGAAATCTTTCAAAGAAATAATTATAAAACGTTTCCCAAATATTGTAAAAATATTTCGAAATATTTCTATGAAATCTTTCAAAATTATGTTTCAACCAGATCATTGAAATATATTATGAAATATTTTTCTGAAGCTCTCATGAAATATTTCATGAAATATTTCTGAAAGATTGAGCAATTATTTCAACAAATATTTATGAATAATATCACTGAAATATATCTTGAAATATGGCGGAAATAATTTACTGAAAGTTATTAAAAAATGTTTCCGCAACATTTCGAAAATATTTTTGAAATATTTTCATGGAATATAATATTTTGCTTTCACAAAATATTTCAGGAAATATCGCGGAAAGATTGCTGATTACCGACATGGAATATTTCCAAAACAAAATAGCTGAAATGTTATTCGAAATACGTCGCCAGCGAGCGCCCAGTTACTTTTGTAGTCTATACTTTATTTCTCACTGCAAACTGTCATTTCGTCGTTTTTACTGACACTGACGGGACACATCTGCACGAGGCACAATAATTACTAAAAGTAATTACGTAATTATTGAATAATAAAAAAAGCCACTAAAGAAACCAGCTACTATTACTCTTCTGAATCATCAGGTAAGTTATATTATTTATGTCAGTTACATATTATTTAATGCGCATCAGCGAAAATTGGGTTTTAGAAAGGTTATGACCACGTGTTCACACATAAATTTTATTTTAACCGGACTAAACAATAAACTTTTTTACAACTTTGCCACGCAACCTTCAACTACTAACATTTGTAATTTCCAAATTTTAACAAGTCGAATGGTCTTAGACAATAGGAAATATCATGGTTGTGCATAATAAAAATAGTCACACTATATGAGAGATTCGTTATTAATCTCACATATGTTAATAGTTTATAAACATGTAGTATATATAACAAATATTTAGTATAAATATTTAGTATTTTAAATATTTATTTAGTGTTGATATATAATATATACTATATAGTGAGATTATAAAATATAGCTTTTAGTGTATATTGCTAAATAAATGCGTAAAGTTGATAAAAATGCTATGTCTAAAGTAGGACAGATTTAGTCGAGGTCCAACAATCTTGCCCAAATCTTAAGATAATCGAACAATAGCTGCTGTTACTCAAATCCATAAATGCAAAAGAAAGCAATTATCCAAAATTAGACAAAAGTAAAATCTATTAATTATTTATTTTATTAAAGTTTTAATTTGATGAAATCTCGACTTTCCACAATTAAGGGAAGCTCAAGTCTCTATTCATACAATAATTTTATATATCTGACTTGCTCTGTTATTTATGAGGCTTGCCTAAATTTTATGTTGATAGACTTCCTGTTTTTTTGTTAATCGATACCTGCAGAAATATTGACCAACTGCTACTCCTACTCAAATCCAAGCAATATCTGAAATAAAAAATAAATAAAAACCACAAAGTATTTCTTATGTAAAACATTAAATTTTATGTAAACTTAAAATAATGCAAGCTCAAATCTCACATTATAAAAAGGTATACATATCTGATGAGAAAAGTCGCCACAGCACATGATCTAATACTCTTCTGCAATTTCAAAATAAAAGAATGATTTCTGAATTAATAATAAACATCTGCTTGTTTTGAATGCTGAGTAAACTGAACTGAGTTAAAATACTTATTCCGAAGATAGAGTATCTTACTCTGGACTTCCTCTCTCTATAAGAGATTATTGAAACAAGAGTCTCAACTCTCAAAGAGCACTTTAATTATTACACTTGGCTCTGTCTGTAACTCAATTAAAAATTTTGTTTGGCATAACACAAACTTATATTCATGATGAGCAAATTGTTAGTTATTTTTGTAGTCAACAAAACTGTGCTTAAATGATGAAAAAATAACCATGATATTGGGTGATAGAAAATATCGTAACATCAAAAATGATTCCATCGATATCCAAAGAAAATCAAGAAGTTGATCATCATAAATATAGTTTTGTGTTATGCGAAAGATAATTTTTAATTGAGTTATAGACGGAATCCCCCAGTGCAATAAGTATTTCAGCTCAGTTCAGTTCAGTCAGTATTCTAAGCAAGTATAAACTTATTATTGGGTTAGAAATAATTTTTTTAGTCTATCAACATAAAATTTGGGCACTACTTTTTCACCTCAAATAAATGTAGTCCTACTCTATAATTAGAAAATATTGCTTAATGTCCATGTAAAATTGAGTTTATTGATTACTATTGTTCAATTGTACTTCCTTATGATCCCCTGGTTTTGTTTTGTTATTGATCGGATGTTAAAATTGATACAAATTTGCCCTAGACAACATTTTTTTTTTAATTTAAATATGAAAAAAAAATCCTGCCTATAATAGTACACATCTTGCTTTCCATTCATGAATTTAAAATCGTTTTTTCCTATCGGGTCCCAATTTTTTAAAAATCCATAAAACTACTAAATTTATAGTATTTTATAAATTGTTTGTGGTTTTCTGAAATTTTACAAAATCTGACAAGTTAAAGCATTGATTTGGAATGATCACGAATCTGCTTATAATTTGACGAGGAAAACCTTCAGATTTTGCCAGATTTTATGGAAAAAATTTCAAAACTACCTTTTTCACAGATATTCGAAATTAAATATACTCATTTTTGCGTATCTAAAAAATGTAGTATGTTTGAAAGTGGAATAGCTAGCGTTAGATTTGTCCAAATTCATCATGCGATGGCTCTTTTAAGCGGCTTTAAAAATAAGACCATGGGTAAAAATTAAGAATTTTTCCATAAGTTACGTTTATTCGTGCTTATCTGTTCGATATTCGGTCCTGGAAAATTATATGCAATGTGCTTCAAACAACTCCTCGTAAGAATGAGAATACGTCCTCCAAGTAGTGTATGACAACCTTTCATTGAAGAGTATTATTAATCATTTTTAAGCTTTTCAGAAACATTTATTGATTATCTATGTGCGTCAGTAGCTTTACGTTTTGAATTCCAGTCCTATAAATACATTTTGATGAATTCCATTTTATATACTATTTTTTGACGTTTATGCAACCGTGATGTCATTAAAATTAGAACGCCTTGGGGCATGCTCAAGCGCGGCCTATGTGCAGATTTAGGATACATAGCGCTATAACATAATGAATTTTAGTAACTTCAGATACGTATAATTTGAATTGTAATGAATAATTTTATATATAAATTTCAGAACCGGTTCCAAAAAACGGAGAAGAGATGTAAAATAGTACATCGATTTAGAAGAGAATGCAGAAGAAGAGAATTCAATGAATGAAGAATAAACTTTGTAATTTTAACTATTTCATATACTATTAAAATAAGGAAGTTATTTATTAATAAATGAGAAACACAAATTTATTTCTTTAACCTAAGCGTGAATTATTTCAATCCTTTTTTGCCGTTATATTTTAGAAATAGATCAGAAAATATTTATAATAAATATTTATAATAAATATCATGAAATATATCAGGAATATTTCATGTAATATTTCCGGGATATATTAGAAGTGCTCCCGAAATCTTTGAATTAGTATACCAAGAATCTTTCAAGCATTATAATAATTCATTCCAATATTTCTGGAATATTCCGTGAAATGTTCCGGGACTATATCATGAAATATTCCGAGACTATTTTATAAAATATATCTGGAATGATTCATGTAATATTTCCGGCATACTTCATGAAATACTCCCACAATCTTTAAAGCAATACATATTAGTATTGCATAGTAATATTGCATGAAATAATCCAGGAATGTATATCATAACATAGAAGGAATATTTTATGAAATATACTAGAAATGTTTCCGAGGATATTTCCGAAATATTTGAAGCAATGTAATATTTCATCAGTAATATTTCATCTAACAAGGAAACCACCCCAACCCGATCTCGCCGATTTAAATGATTTTGGGATATATTATCGTACTTGAAAAAAAATTAAATACGTGTTTTTTTTATCGGCCCACAAGGGCTTTTAAGGGGTGAAATCCACCCTGAAAATCAACACCTAAAATCAGTTTTTTTAATATTTCTCAACATCAAATGGATATTTTTCAGTAAACTCAACGTTAACAAATTTCTTCTAAAAAGGCGCTTTTAAGGACATAACATTTATACCGAAGGATTGCAACCCCCTTTTTAATAGGGGTAAATACACTATTTTTTGTATTGTTTTACGACATGTAATATAGCAAATCAGCTCGAGTGATTGAAAAATCGCACTGATGAGAAAATACCAAAATTAAAATGACGTGTTTCCGGATTAAAAAAAAATATATTTAAGGGGTGTTTCACACTCTAGTGTTATCCACCCCCGTCAAACTATCAGCAGGTTAATCCACCTAACCCTGGGATAAACAAGTTTAGTTGTTTGTTATTTCCTGAAATAATTTAATCCTATGCCTGAGCGAGCTACCTCAACTAACCAACCTGTCTCTAACCCACGAAACCACCATAAACCACCCTTACCCAATCAAATGTAGGCTAATAGACCTAACTTTGGGAGAATTGAGTTTATCAGTTGCTTTTTCTTAAAATAATTGATTTCTACACCATACGTGGGGTATCCCATTTTTTTTTTGATAAAATACATCTGTAGCTCAAACATAATTTATGACAAATAAAAATATGTTTAATACATTTTATTTTAATAGTACCAAAATGGCGAGAAATATCTCATAAAAATACACACGAGAATAACACGACGTCTAATTATCATTTATAGATCTATACATATATATCTATATTCGTATGTAGATACATAAATATATTTACGTAAGAGCCATCGTACGCGATACTACATATATTTTGATTTTTCATAATAATTTTCATCTTTTTCTTTTTTTTATTTATTGGTAAATTAAAATGTATCATTACACGAATTCCTTACAGAAATGATAATCATCGAAAAAGTGTTTGAAACAGAATGATCTTTTACCCACCCACACCGTATTATAGCAACATTTTTACATGTTTCTACTTCGCAATGTATATTGCAAGAATCTCCAAAATAAAAATCAACAGGGTTATCTGTTTTAGCTGGTTTTTCACCAATGTAGCCGCTTTTATACCAAGCATATTTAAAAATGTTTGTATATCTTGGTGAAGAAAGCTGGTTATGGACAAGAGACTGCATTTTTATGTTATTTCTTAAATGTAGATTCCTTTCATAGTCCATCAAAATTACTTGATTTGATAAACGTCGAACGAAGTTTTTCCAAATACGAAATCCATAAACATCGAGTGGTTGGATGTTCCCTGTCGTTCCTGTGGGAATTTTTTTTATATTAACAATTTTGTTTGTCGGCATCGTTTCTCTTACAGCTTTATCGCAATGTCCACTCCAAGAGTCGAGTAAAAGTACAGATTGAGGTCTAACATTTGGGTAAAAAATTTCTTTCAACCAAATTTTAAATTGATCTAAAATGAAAAAATG